AGGTCAATTAAAAATATCTACAAGAAATAATCCAGAAAGAGGAAATTAAACGGACAGAGGAGCCCAAAAAAATCTCAATCACAAGGGAAAGTAGTACGATGGAAATTATTAGAACTGCTTGGCTGACAAGACCTCAATGGGATTTCATTCAAGCACTCGAGGCTGATGTATTGACTTTAATGTTCCAATATTCCCTAGATTCTCAGAAGGTTCCTTTAAATTGGATAATAGGAAATATAACTCCTTTGCTCAAGTCCATGGGAGAGAGACAGAAAGCAGAAAACCACAAGTCTGACATCTACATAAAATGATCTGGATGAAGCAGTCAGGGCATGGTTGCTAAAATTTTGTTGATGACGCAAAGTCAAGTAGGAAAGTACACCAGTAAGAAACTGTACTTGAACAATACTGGGACTGGAGTCCTTGCGAACTGCATAACTAGGGAAGTGGGTGGGTTTTAAACAGTGGGGGCAAGGGCCCAAACTTGGGAAGTTGTGGTCAATCGAAGAGTAGGGAAAATGCAAGAGGAAGGAATTAATGTAGGAAATGACAGACAGTGACAGTAAGAAAGAGAAAACGCAGACCTAAAAGCAAACCAACAGATAAGACCAGAGGTTACAAAAATAAGGACAAAACTTAAGACACCGTTTGAATGCACGCAGCATTCAAAACAAAAACGGATGAACTACTACAAATTAAGATAAGTACATTCCAGTAGCCATTACTGAGATGTAGCTGCAGAATGGCCTAGATTGGGACCTAATGACGAAGGGGTACGTGACAGTTAGGAAGGATAGGTAGTGAGGAAAGCGTAGAAGAACGGCTCTTAATTAGAAATGATATGAGCACAATTCAAAAAACCAGGATATAGAAGTGGTCTTGCTAGAGACGAGTAATAACAAAGGCAGACGGTTATTTGTGGGAGTCATGTGTAGGCCACCTGCAAGCAACCACACATTGGGTCAGGATATCAAGGAAGAAATAATGGGAGCCTGACAAAAAGTGTACAGAAATTATCATGGGGGATTTTAACCTACATATAGGCTGGAAAAATCAGAAGGAGGAACTGAATCAATGCCTTCCTGACAATTTCTTAGGCCAGCATGTTACAGCACCAACCAGAGAGCTGGCGAAACTAAACGTGGTTTTGACCAATGATACAGGATTAATTACTAACCTGAGTAAAAGCAGCCCTGGGTGGCAGTGAGAATATGACTGAATTTCAAATAGTTTGAGTAAGAGTAGGATGACTTCCAGCCTACTACTTTGAATTTAAACAAGTACAAATATGAGAGCACGAAAACTGAGCTAGTGCAAGTGAACTGATAAGTTAGATTATCTAAATAGAGGGTGCAGAATTCTGACATGGGCAGGAATCTTGGCATCCTAGTGTTTGAATCACAAAATGGTCATTATACAAGTAGAGTAAGTAATGAGGAAAGATAATAGAATGTTATTTACTGAAAGGGGGTTGAATACAATGTTTTGACGTAATGCTTCAGTCATACAGAGCACTGGTGAGATCACATTTGGAATTCATCAAGTATGCAATATTGCTCACCTTGTTTAAAAGCAAGAATGGGAATGCTTTGAAAGCAATTCAGAGAAGGTTTACCGGACCAAATCTGTAATGGAAGGGTTGTCAACTAAATTTGTATCTGCTACAGAAGGATAAATTCTAAGTTTGGAATCTTTAGAACTGCTTCCACCAACTTCTGAGGAAGAATTCTTCATTTTTTTATGCAAAAGTAGACAGATGCTTGATCAGCAAGAGTGTGAAGGAATAGGCAGAAACATGAAGCAATCAGATCAACTATGATCTTACCGAATGGCTGTCTGACCTACTCCTAATTCATGCATTCATCTGTACCATAGACAGCTTAATGTGCTAGCGATCGCTCATTTGTCCAACTGAAAGCTTTTCTACAGAATCTGCCAAGTTCTCCATGCATTATTCAAAATAACGCGAGTGTCTAGTTCCCAACCTCTTTTTCCCTTGAGGGAATGATGACAAATTAATACAGAGAAAGAGTCCCAAGCAGCAAAACACATTCTGAAGCCAGTGGACTCGTGAAGAGTACTTCATACTTTTGCAGACAATCCAGTTTCTACAGTAGAGCTCATTCAAGCTTTTATACAAATCGAGGAACATTAACCTTCTGGCCCTTCCATCTCAAGACTCAGGTGTTATTGTAGGTTCCTGAAAGTGCATGTCTGTGGCAAATGAATACATTTTGGGGCAGAGTTTTCATACTTAAAGAGAAACTACTAAATTTACATCTTCAGTGTAAATTATTCCGTGATTTCAACTGAAGACCCACATAATGAAGTCTTGCACTAAGCAAGTTTAGATTAGAAGTGGTTCTTAATTTCAGTTGCCCAATTCTAATGAGAACATAATCAGCTCAGTACAGCTACTTCAGACGCTACATAAAATCAATGAACATGTATACAGCAATACTTCCAAAATCATGATGCCATTTTTGACCAGATAGAGACAAAATCAGATACTGAGACACCATTTTGAACTCAATTTCAAAATGAAACATTTCAAGTGTTGAACTAAAAACTCAACTACAAAGTGCCCTAGGGTCAGAAATTCAAAATAAATCTGGGAACAAACTCATGCTTTTAAAACAAATGAAGCAAAGACACTGGTTTAGATGCTTCAAGGCGAACCATTGGTCTCAAACAATACCCATTAGTCAAAACAGAGGGGAGGCAATGGCCTAGTGTATTATCACTGGTATTAACCCAGAGACCAAGATAACATTCTGGGTTTGAATCCCGCCATGGCAGACGATGGAATTTAAATTCAATAAAAGATATCTGGAATTAAGAATCTAGTGATGACCATGAATCTGTTGCCAATTGTCAGAGAAACCCATCTGGTTCACTAATGTCCTTTAGTAAACAAAACTGCCATCCTTACCTGGTCTGGCCTCCATGTGACTCCAGATCCACAGCAATGTGGTTGATTCTCAAGTGCCCTCTGGACATTTAGGGATGGGCAATAAATGCTACCTATAAGCAACACCCTCAGCCCATGAACGAATAAAACAAATAGGAAGCAACTTCCCTCGTTGGCTTAGATGCTCCTTTCACCCCCAAGTTGCAGGCTCTGACTTGCAACACCTATTGTTAAGCAACTGAGATAGCAATTTCATTTAAGAATTATTTTTGTACATTACATAAAATCAATACTAGATCCTTAATATACGTCAACTGCAGTAGATACCAAATTAAAGATACAACTTGGTTTGATTTCATAGTAATTTCTATCTAATCCATTCAACCTTTAAATCCTTAATTTGCCAGCCAGCCCCAAACAAACTTCCTGGACTACTTTAAAAAATTATTTCATGGGAATATAGATATTAAAGGCAAGGTGAGCATTTACTGCTGATCCCCGATTGCCCTTTAGTTGATTGGGTCTCAGGCCATTTCACAGGGCAGTTAATAGCCAACCACATTGCTGAGGGTTTGGAGTCATAGGTAGGTCAGTCCAGAGAAGGATGCCAGACTTCCTTCCCGAAAGGGCATCCGTGAACCAAATGAGATTTTATGACAATCGACAATTGAATTAGCTTTTAATTCCATAATTTATTGACATCAAATTTCCCATTTTGGAATTCAAACCCACATCACCAGAGCATTTGCTTGGGGCTCAGGATTATTAGTTGAATAACAACCTACTCATTACAATCATGCTGTCTGTGTCAGACTAAACCATGATATATTTTTATTTTTTCAAACAGTATAATGGACTCTAGAGATTCACCCATGACAAAGAGAAGACTAAGCAGTCCAAAGCTTTGAAAACAAATATATGCAAATTTTGAAGGTGAAATTGTTTGCAATGCTCTGCTTCTAACATAAGAGGGAGAACACAGATTTCTTTGTACCCATCTAGCTGCAGCAAGCATAATTTGTACTCTATCAACAAACACAGGCTCTCACTGAACTGTATCAATATTTTCTTGAAAAGAAACAATATGTAGAAGTTTATTTTAGGAATCACTTGGTATCTACAAAATCTGGGCTCCTGGATGTTGAGACACAACTTAAATTAGTCATTTTCAAAGTTCAAAATGAAAATTTTTATTCAGCTACATGAACTGTACAGGCCATTTTGGAATACTTTAACTGACTTAAGTGTTCTATAAAAAAGCAACACAGATGTCACCAAAATAACTTGTATGTGTCGACATGCTATTTTAGTTTACTGGCTTTACCTGTTGAAGGAGCAGCGCTCCAAAAGCTAGAGATTTCAAATAAACCTGTTGGACTATAACCTGGTGTCATGTGACTTCTGACTCTGTGCACCCTAGTCCAACACCAGCACATTCACATTTTAGTTTACTGAATTACCAGGGACTTGAAAAGAAAAAAGTTGAAGACTTTGTTATAAAAAAAACTGTAGAATGAGGAGTGATATTCAGTCCAACGAATCTCATCCCTTTCATTACAACTCTCCTGCATATGCAGGTGCAATTGTTTTGATCACCCAATACTGTCCCACAGCTTAGTCCAGTCAATCATCTTTTATGAAAACAGAGCGTAAAAGGAGATGCTGGGCATTGGCGAATTTCTCCCTTGTTTCTAATGGGTTCTTTCCTTCTCTGGCTACAGGCATATATAATTGTTGCCAGTTCAGTCTTCCAAGTTGTTTCCATGAGAAAAAACGCAGTTTATGCCACAATTACCATAAGTGATTGCAGTCCTTATTATCGTCTCATACTATAATCTCAGCATAATCCTTGAAGGATTTTATCTATTGTCTGGCCATATAGCCAATTATTTTTATAGCTTTCCCAATTGCTTCACCATACTGTAAACATTTAGCACAATTGAACAAATATTGTAATTGTGCAAAAGGTTTTCTGGTTCATATTTGTATAGCAAGATACATTTAAAACAATGTACCTTTACAGCAGCATGCAGTTTAGGCTATGTAGACAGCCCCCATTCAGAACAAAACTAGTATTGGTTTCTTACCTTGCCTACATCACGCTCGAAGTCCACGTACTCTCGTGTGGGAGTTTGCCGCTGTTCTCCATGCCAATTTGCCGGAAAAAACTGCAGAGATAGATTGGTTCCAGAGGCCACAAAAGCCTTTCAGAAAAATCAATACAAACTCTATCAGAGAGCAGGACTTTAAATAAATAATGCAGTCATTTTTTTTTTTTTTTAAACAGTAGTAACATCCTGAGTTAATAATCTGATTGGCAGCACAGTATTCTCCAAACCTTGGAATGACATATGAAATAATGATCCCATGTTTTATCAAGCATACAGTTACAGGCATCTGATTCTGCTTTGACACATGGCCCAGAAAATGTCAGAAACATGGGATACTGCACTAATCAATATCCCATGCATTAGTTAAATTACAATCAATGCCAGAATAATTATGCACTGTGAAAAGCCAAACATACAGCAATTATGTTCATTTCTGAGAAAGTAAGAGAAAACAAGGATGAAAGAGAGATTTTTACAACATTAATATCGCTCAGTTACACAGCCTTCAATAAAACATTCAAAGTTGCAGGATTCAGTTTGGCAGTGCAGCATGAACCCTGCAGTCCAAATATCAAGTGCATGTTCTGTTTTGGACAGTGACAGCAAGGAAGCGAGCAAAGTGGAAAGGGAAATGAAGGAAAATGCAGGTGCAAGACTAGAACAGTAAGTTTACAAAGTAGACGACAGTCATATTTCAAAGAGATCAAATCTCTACATTAATTCTTTGACGCAGCAGTAATGTCCAATTTTGGACTGCTGGGCGCCAGGGATTCAATTTGTCAAATTACAGCATATTCATTCATGCAACAGCAACTCAATCCAACAAATGCATTGAAAAAACATTTGCATCTGTCTGCCAGCCAAATAGATATAATTAATTTTTAAAACAAATCAAACTTTTAAAACCACTTCATGAACAGACCATCACGTAAAAAATATAGAGGAAAGGCCAAACACAAGAGAAATATTTACAGAAAACATTAAGTACACACATCTTGCAGAATCTGCGGTGAGACAATGACTTAACCTTTCAGAAAGATGGCATTTCATTCTTTTGGTTTCTAATTAACATCACAAACTGCAGGAATTCAAGAATGTGGGATCATGATCACATTCTCTTGAGGAGCACTAAGGGATTGCCAATAAATATTGTACCCTATCCCTATTCTATTAATGAATTAAAAGCAAATGCAACAGCCTTACTTACCACTTCTTCAGCTGAGATTAGATATCTCAGCAGAGAGGAAAATCAAATGTGAACTCTCCTCGGTACGTCAACCCGAGAGACTGAAATATGCCTCAAAAACTTGGGCTATGAGCTTTCAGGGTGATTACCTAATTTGTTTGTAAACAGCAAACTAGATTTCATCTATGTAAAAAAAAAGACTTTTAACTTCCCCCAGGAATAGCAATATAAAAATTGACCATCAGCTATTTTTAATATTTCTCCCCTTTAAGTTGGTCTAGACTTTCTACCATTCCCCATCTGTGGTAGTTACTACCACTGCATTAGAGAAAGCATTCCAGAAAATGGGTTTTGCAACCATAAAGGCATAGTGATACATTTCACAAACCAGTACAGTATTAGATTTGGAGGTTATGTTACCAGGTATTTGCTACCTGGTTGATTCCCAGTGACAGAATTGATGTTTAAGTTACGCAGACGTATTCATGCAAGAAATAGTTCACATTTGTGAAACTATTTTACCTAGGAAGAAGTTCAGAAAGGCTTAAAATAAGTATGCGTAAAATAAGCATACACAGCAAATTAAGTGAAAATAATCCTTCATTAATTTCACATTTATCATAAAAAGAAAACCCACATAAATCTTAGTGGTAAAAATGGGCAGCACGGTAGCTCCGTGATCAACACTGCTCACAGCGCCAGGAACCAGGTTCAATTCCAGTCTCAGGCAACCGTATGTGCAGGTTTCTTCCCAGTGTCCAAAGATGTGCAGGTTAGGTGGATTGGCCATGCTGAATTGCCCATAGTGTCTAGGGATGTGCAAACTAGTTGGATTAGCCATGGGAAATGCAAGCCTACAAGGTTGGGATGCTCTTTGGAGTGCCAGTGTGACTTGGTGGGCCGAATGGCCTGCTTCCACACTGTAGGGATTCTATGATTCTAATGATCTTATCAGTATGCTGACACAAATTTGATACGAAGATCCCAAAGATAATTTGCCATTCCACAAATTTTATTAAGCAACTGTACAAATCCAACCAAAATGACGTGTAATTCACCATTTCCTCCTAACATAAATACACATTTGCCAGATAGTCTGATCTATATAACATCCCAGCATCCCCCAATCCCAAAAGTGCATGTGCAAAATAGATTTATCGCAGTTTAATGAAACGTCTGTATTAAGTGGAATCCTTGTTTCACAGATAGTAGGAACTGCAGATGCTGGAGAATCTGAGATAACAAGGTGTAGAGCTGGATGAACACAGCAGGCCAAGCAGCAGAGGAGCGGGAAGGCTGATGTTTCTGAAGAAGGGTCTAGGCCCGAAACGTCAGCCTTC